CTCCTGATGTCATTATATGAGGCTCAGTGGGAATCTCTCGAATATCCCTACCAACATCGCAAAAGAAGGCTTCTCATGTTTCCCACAGCAGAATGTGGTAGTCTTCACCCTCATTAAGGAGACACATATGGAGATCATTACACAAAACCAGCACTGATCAAAATGCAGAGCTGCAGAGTCCAGGACCAATAGATCTACAGTTTCACTCCTGCACTTAAGGCTAAGGAATCATCGTGAAAATGGGGCGAGAAGAGTGTAAGAGCCAGAGCATCAGCGAGTTTTCTGTGAGATTGGACCGCCTACGAAGTCAGAGGCTACATCCATGAAGTCTTATCAGCGTGACTTCCTGAATACGATAAACGTGACGTGAACAAGGGAAACACCAAAGACATACTAATGTGGGTAGGGAAAAGCTCATGAGGACTGACTCTAGACAAAGAACTTTAGGAAACTTAGGACTGCCAACAACAGCAACAACAACAACAAAGCAAAAAAAAACCCTGTGCTTCCCCAAGTAAGAGCACAACAACAGTTGGCTATCCAGTACAAAATTGTCAGCCCTGAAATTACAGACACACACATAACATTTTGCAGAGTGAGTAGGTTGCATTTACGTATTTTATGTATTTAAAATGTCTCCCCCCCCACCAGGTAACAATTAAAGAACAATAAGTCATAAATTTGAAAGAGATCAAGGCGGGTGGGGCAGTACATGGGAGGTTTTGGAAGGGGAAAGAAGGGAGAAATGGTATAATTATATTCTCGTCTCAAAAAAGAAAACATTTAAAATAAAACTCTTATAGATTCCACAAGAACCTAAACAACAGGATTCCCAAAGTCCCTCCCCAAGAATACAAACACGGTAAAAACATCTGGGCCAAGACTCTGACCAGCTAAGCTGTGTAGATGAGACTCCCATGAGCTGAGCCATAGAGAAAACATTCCTCTACCTGCTGAATTGCATAAGACATATACAGAGTCACGGGTTCCAGGCTTCATGAATCATCAAAGCCCCACCGTGCTGGAATGGGTCTTTCAGTGAGGCAGCTGTATTTGAGTTATCCCTGCTTCCATCAGGAACTTCTCACCCATATTCCTGGAAGCAATAGCAACAAACTCAGTGGTTCATCAAGTTGAACTTTGCGGTAATCATTACCTCTGACAATCATTGGTTTATTCGCTGGGGTGAACTTTTTTATTCTCTGGGGTGAGCTGTAATGTGTTTCATGTTTCCCCAGGAAAAAGGTCATGCAAAACTTGCCCGGGAAGCAATCTTAACAAATTCAAGTTTTGGCCAAGTTGGACTTTGGGGGTAATCATCACTTCTGTCAGTCATTGGCTTATTCTCTGGGATGAACTGCAATGTGTTTCATGTTTCCCCAGGAAAAAGGTCATGCAAAACTTGTGTATCTGGTTCTGGTTGTTGGGATGGTTGGGAACTGGCTGAGTAGCTATTTCAGAATGAGTGGTTGAATGGTTTAAGAAGTCCAAGTGTAGGGGGTAATGGCTGTCAAAAATAATCTTTAGGAAGCAGAAATGGAAGCAACAAATTCCATTGTTGTTTAAGAGACTTTTGCGGCCATTGGGATCCAACAGCTGCTATTAACCTTCATGCAAGACTCTCCAGCGACAAACTCATTCAAATCTTGTGAAGGCTCATGAAGGTTCAAGGGATCTTTGGCATCTTATTGTTCACAACATAAAGTACTTAATATATGGATTTTGAGCATGTAAGTCTCGTAGAGTTAATAGTCTACAAAAGTGCAAATACAAGTTTGTAAGCAGAAGCAATCTAACAAATTCCTGGGACTCGTTTTATTTTGATATTTACTTTATTGGGGGTGTGGCATTGGATTTGCAACATACCGTAGGTATACCAAAAGTCAAACAGACCTGCTCACTTTATCATTTTCTCTTGTGGTTTAGCGAAACATTTCGGACTTTCTAACAATTATAGTTAAATCCAATGCAAATAACAAGAATTTTATTTTTTCCATTCACAATTAAAATTTCTCTCTGTTGCCTGATTAAATTAGAATGTTGAGTAAAAGTGGATATAATGAGAATTATGGTTCTTTTTCCAGTTACACAAACTTGCTATTGTTGTTAGCATTTCGTCATTTAGCATAGCAATTTTTCTGGTAGGTGTTTTATACAGCACTAAGAAATCACTCTTAATATGGTGATTTTATTTAAAAAATATAAGAATTTTATTATTTTTTTAATTTGTATACCTGTGTGTGTGTGTGTGTGTGTGTATTTGTGCATGAATATAGACTCTTAAGTGCTGTTAGCATGCATGTGGAAGCCAGGGTGTGATTCTCTCCTGTCACCATGAGATGCTGAGGTTGGTCTCAGAGCTTCAGGTCTATCAGTGTCTCTTACTACTGACACATCTTGCTGGCCTTGGTATAAGTTGTTAGGACATCTGCTGTTGCTACTAAGAATTGAAGACGATTGAATTGAATTGAAGAAGATTAAAGCTCAGGAGCCACCCTGGAACTCATGACTGATTATAGTTGGAGAAACAAAGGGAATAAAAATATTCCATCACTCTATCAGCTGTTCTCCAGTCCCTCAGATATAATTGCTCAATATCCCAATAAACTTTCTCTGTATTTTAAGTCATATTTGTTTAACTGCAGCCAGGGCAGTGACTGTCTCAGCTGCAGAGTCCAGCAGACTCCAGCAGATGACGGAGGACTGAACTCTGAGACCTCTCTTAAGAAATATACAAAAGTGTACCAATGAGTATCTAATGGAAGGGACTGGAACCAGTACGTGTATAGCAAACAAAATGGTCTATTGAATGACAAGGAGGCCTACATAACGGGAGAAACTATGCTAGCTGTAGCTGTATATCTGACAGAAGATTAATACCAAGAATACAAAAATGACCAAAAACAATTAAAATAAACAACCCAAGAAAAACAAGGTTACAGATGTGAATATTGCAAATAAATCCTTTTAAGTGGTTTTTACTTTTTGTTCAGTGCTTGCCACATCAAGAAAATGCTAATGCAATGTATCAACATTGCAATGACTTAAACTAGTATTTCGTTTAATCTTAAAACCATGACGGACTGTTAGATACCATAGCTCTTCCGTGAGAATGAATGACTCATACTCCTGTCTCAAATGTAGAGTTGCTGCTGCAAAGCCACTTCCCAGTTGGGATCGCATTTCAAAGCCTCATTCTATATCACCCTTGCTCATGGGTGGAGCCCCTTGTGTAGTTTTTCAAATTACACTAAAACAGAAAGAAACAGATATGAAGCAGGCGTGCCTTGTCCGTCTCTGAGCAATATACGAGACTTTGACCCATGAAGGAGCAGTGAAAAGTCGGTGATGTGAACCCTTGAATCATTCATTACCTTTAGTGCTACCTACAATATAGCTACATTGAAAACTGGTCTGGAAAAGATTATGGTTCTGTTCCGTTAAGACCCAGACCCTGGGGAGTGCATTTCCTACAATACAAAATTCTACATTATCCAGGGTTTTAGTACTCATTGCCAACAATAGTCTGAAAATATCAAATGGAAAATTCCACATATAAACAATTCATAAGTTCTAAGTGAGTGCCATTTTAAGAGCTTGATAAAATATACGTCTTTTCAGTTTTCCTGCTTGGGACATGTATAATTTTGTCCAGCATGTCTATATTGGATATGCCACCCACTAGTTACCATCTTAGCTATCAGACCGACAGTCATGGTATCTGAATGCTTGTGTTCACATAACACTTGTTTTATTTAAAGCTTTCATTTGAGAAAAATTACATTGGCTGAATGTTTAAACGTCTTTTCATCAAGTCCTCAATTCTTTCATGTGGTTATGTTTGTAGGTTTTCTGTTTTGAGAATTCTAAATTCTCAGAAAATGTTTAAAGGAAAATATTTAAAATATTTAAAACTAGATATTATTTATATCAGGATTTTTACTAAAAAAATGAAGAAAGCCAAGGTTTCCATTCCACATACAATTTAATTATTATCCTATAGACAACATTATAGATTTATTTAAAACTACTTATAGAATGTAATTTTTCAAGTAAATGTTTGACATGATGTAATAATATTTCAGTTTTGTGTAATATTTGATTTTAAGTATACTTATAGTTAATTTGAAAAAAGTTTAATTCAAAGCATAACATACATTGATATCTGCAAGTACAAAATAATTTTCCATAAATAAGAAGTTTAAATTGTAACTTCACATTATAGAGAGGAAAGATGTAAGGTAAGGCACACGATCCATGTGTAATACTTGCTGATTAGTCACTATGAGAATAGCCAAAGGCATTTGTGTCTAATTGTAATTCATTTCTACTAGCTAGATGGTCGTAAGGACTGGTTTCCTGGTGCATGTCAATACAGTAGGTGAAACTTCAGACCAGTGATTCATATTCAAATTACTCCTTAAAAATTAAGTGACTTGTTCTTACTCGACGGATTAAAATAATACAAGGGATGCTAATACTGCAGAATTAGGGAAGTTCTCGTCAATTTCAAATAGGTGGATTTTGTTGCAAACTGAGACACTTGGATTTTCCAGGTACAGTGAATCTCACAGCCATTCTTTGTGAAACTGAGGTGAAAACCATACACTTTCACCTTTTTTTTGGTGTCAGTTACTGCTTACAGAGAGCATTACTCAAAGAGCATTTCTCAGAGGGATGTATTTAAAGATTTGTTGTTGTTGTTTGAGACAAGGTTTCTCTGTAGCTTTGGTGCCTGTCCTGGAACTAGCCCTTGCAGACCAGGCTGGTCTCGAACTCACAGAGATCCTCCTGCCTCTGCCTCCCGAGTGCTGGCATTAAAGGAATACACCACCACCTCCTAGCTTAAAGATGTTTAAATACTAGACAATGGAGAAAGTGAAGCACAACTGTTTCTCACTCTGTTTTACTATGAATTTGAGCATATATACAAGAACATTTTTGGATATGGCAGAATTGGTTTTATAATCTCATTAGGTGTACATAAAAGACTAAGTAAATTTATGTGAGTTTGAATAAAAGAGTTTTATTTACAGATAGGCACTTTTGTAATTAGTACAAACCAACAAAGAAATAATCAGGAAAATAGATCTGAATCATTTATTAATAAGCATATATAGTACATATAAAATTTTATAGTTTCTTCCTTTTTGTTACAACTATTAAAAGTTTCATTCCTGAGGTCTTTGGAATCCATTGAATTATAAAATTAGGAAGGAAAGCAAAACCATCTTCCCTGGTTTGAAACTGAAGTGTGAGTCTTCACTGATAGTACAAGTATCATTTTCCCATACATCAGATGTATTATTGGGACATGGTCACACGGGGACTCATTTCCTAACTACTGGAACCCCCAACACCAGATCTTCAGAGTTGACATGCTCAGCTTGCAGATCATGCACAAGCTGTTATTACTAAATATTTCTATTGCAAAGTAGCTCCTCCCTTTTGAAGTGCAAATGTATATAGTGACTCATTTAAGATGTGTTTTGACTTAAATAACAATTCAAGTATCTCCTTTCTGAAAACCATTAATATTTATGAGTCACGGTGATAAATACATTTTCTGAAAGGCAGAATATCTCTTGAATATCCTTTGTTTTGTCCTTAGAGGATGTAGGTTATAACCTGGTTTTGGCTTGCACTGCATTTTTTTGGCTAGCTTATCGTACATCTTTATCTATACTTCGAACAAATCATTTAAGAAAAATATTGACATCAGATGCGTGCAGGTAATTTGTTGAAGTTCTCATGAGTTAGTTTTTGTGCAGAATCAGGCTATTGCTAATATGAGGCTGATATCACCTCCGTACTACAGCATTTCATTTCAAAAGCTATATGAATAAAGATGCAGTCTGAGTGAGCCACGTGTGCTTAGTTTCAGCATAGCTGATGCTTAAGACGTTCATGGAGCTTTTACAGTCGTCGGTGTGATGTCATAATCTTGAAAATGAATTCCTTTAGACGCTGTGATCTTCATAATGGCACCGTTGAAAGTATCATCTTCAATGAGAGTTAGTAATCCATTGGCAATGATTGAGGGGCTGAAAATGAAGGAAACATTTGGACTTTGAAACTAAAGACTGAAAGTAATTAACTTCACAATATTCTCTTAGGCCGCCGCATCCTTGTCGTAGGAAAAGATATTTCATTACCTATTGCTACCTTCTGTTTTTACTCAATGGGATATTAAGCAAATTATATAACAAATTTAGTGGTCATTGGGCAATGCATTTGACGTCGTTAATCCTATTGCTGAAAATGATCATTTTTTTCATCTATACCAGATCAGTAGATATCAGACTTACTAGACAGAAACTGCATTGGAGGAGAAATAGAATCAAGTAGAATATATTGAAGATCATTTTTACCAAGTGTCATTTTAAGTACATTTCGTGTAACATCTTATTGATGTACTGAAGGTCTTTAAATTTGCTATACTATCCCTTTATGTGAGAAAGCTAACACTTTCTGAAATTTGGTGGACAGGTTCATGGACAGTGGTAGAGTCAAAGCTGAGATCTGATTCCTCCAATACAATAGCTGTAATCCTGTGCTGAGAAAAACTCACCTAACTCATCTTACAAAAATTTCATCTATTTTTTTTAAATGAAGGATACTCTTATACCAGAGGAGTATATTTAAATTTTATTTATTTTTTTTGTGAAAATTTTTATTGAAAATAGTTCTTTTTCATAAATTATATTTTGGTTATGCTTTCCCCTCCCCCAACTCCTCTAAGATTATCCTTAGTTCCCCACGTACCCAAATCCACATCTTTTCTTCCTCTATCATAGTAGAATACAAATAAAATAGGCATGTAACATAATAACGATAAAAGAAAATTAAACAAAATAAATACAAACAAACCAGAATAGGTCAAAACAAATAAAACAACAGAAGAAAAAAGTCAAAGAAAAAGCTCAAGAAACAAATATAAACACAGAGACACACAGAAATATTACAAAAATGCAAAATAAGATATTTAGTCCTTGACATAATGCTGACAGAGCATTATGAGACAACCTCTAAAGGTGCCATTGAGTTTGTTTTGTGTCATTTATCCACTATGGACATAGTGTCTGGACTTAAGTGTGGTTTGTGTGGCCAGCGAGACTCCACTGAAGAAAACTATTCTTTTATTTTCAGGTGGTTGTCAATTGGAAGTAGCTCCTGGGTTAGAGCTGGGGCTTGTGTATACTTTACTCTGCATGCTAGGACATTATCTGGCCCAGACCTGTTCAGGCCCTGTGCATGCTGCCACAGTCTCTGTGAGATGTGTGTCAAACCATCTACTCAGACTTAGACACAGTTCTTTGACTATGCGCCCATGTATGTGTCTGTCGCTGTGTTCTTGTGCATGAGAGAGAGAGAGAGAGAGAGAGAGAGAGAGAGAGAGAGAGAAGAAGAAGAAGAAGAAGAAGAAGAAGAAGAAGAAGAAGAAGAAGAAGAAGAAGATCAATTGTTTTTATTAAACTAGTTGAAATTTGGGGGTCAAACAACAATACATGAGTTTTACTTGATTTTTTCTTGTAATTTAGGCATATAAAGTATAATTGCATTGAAAGGTGAACAAATGTTATTTAGAAAAGAAATCTGATAAAAGCTGATGGCACTGTCTGTTTTCAAAACAAAATTCATAACATTTAAGCACAATCCTCTTTCTCGTGACTGATTTTCCCTTCAAAAGGTTTGGCAATCCAAACTTTGAGGTTTGTATCATTTTCTAAAATTTAAAACTTTAAAATGATTGCTTGCTCAGATCAAAGATAAGGCTTTGATACATTGTGTAAAGAAAGAGTTTTTTACTTACTCCAAGATTCCATAAAATTTCATCATAGCCTTGATCTGATCCTTATATTCTAAATATTGGCCCATATTTTCTTCTTTCTCAATGGACTCAAGGATGGGTGTGTTGACAAAGCCTGGGCAAATGGCATTTAGTCGTACTCCACTCTTCTTAAGGTTAGCAGTCATCTGTCAATCAGAACACAGTTGCAGGCTTCAGAAACTTTGACAAAGGATAGTTACAGGACAAACCAAAATGAAAAGTTCTTTAAAAGCTTATCGTAAAATGCATTCAGCAGGTATGCTCTGAAATATGGAACAATTCCCAGCGGGCACATATGGTGTAAACACCCAGAATTCATTCATAAAAGTAGCACCATTAGAAAAGTCCTAAGATTACAGAGTTATCTAAGCGTCTCTTCTTTACTGAACTTTGGGCAATTGAAGCTAAGTAAGTAACTGAGGCTGTTTTTTTGTTTTTGTTTTTGATGCAAACATCATAATAGAAGCTTTGTTACTTGTTAATTCATTATTTTGACAATATATGAAGGTTATTTTTCATTATACAGAAATATATATACAACAAGGTTGATATCAAAATGTTGTGAACTCAGGTTTTTAGTAACTTCATCTTTATTTCTTTCAGAAACAAGGGCTCAGCATCAGTACTTCAGCATTTGCCAGTAACTTCATAACTGTTGTAAACAATGAGAGCCGACTGTAGAAATATTCAGTCACAAATTTAAATGTGAAATTTCTGCTTTGTAATGGGTTATCTTTTTCTAAAACATTGGGACATTTTCAAATAAAGTACTGAGGCCTCATCAACCCAAATTAAGAGTAAAGACTGCTTTCCTTCTCGGGGATGATTAACACTGATCCTTTGGCTTATTATTTCTCCATGTTAGGGCAAAGCACTTCATCTAGCTGGCCCTTCCATCCTATCCAGTACCATGCAGAGACTTTTCAACTATCCCTTTTTGTTGTTTATGCTTTGTAATACATTTTCCACACAGCATGCAAAATTATATTCAAGTGTTCTATTTAAGGACTCCTGGGTGGTAGTGGCACATGCCTTTAATTCCAACACTTGGGAGGCAGAGGCAGGCAGATCTCTGTGAGTCTGAAGCCAGCCTGGTCTACAGAGCAAGTTCCAGGAAGGCTCCAAAGCTACAGAGAAACTGTTTCTTGAAAAATAAAAAACAAACAAACAAACAGACAACAACAACAACACACACACACACACACAAAAACCCCCTGAAACCCAGTCCTCCTGGCATTAATATTGCAGAAAAGAAACTTTGTACAATTTTAGAAACAAAGACCATTTTCCTATTGCTTAACCTTAAAATATTTATTAGTGTCACCACCATCCACCTCTCTCCTAGTTTGCAGTGTATAGTCTTTATTTAGTCTTTTATAAGATTGCTAAAGTTTTTATTATAAAGATTTTAGTAAGATGTCTCCTCCATCTTTCAGCTAGATTTTTTTTTAAATTTGAACTTCTTTTCTTATAGTCTGTAAAATTTGGGTTTCATCTATGCATGCAAGGAGGAAAAGAGACACTGGTTATGGTTTCCTCACCGCTGCTGAGCGCGTGAATCCGATTATGCCGTGCTTTGAAGCACAATAAACAGGTTGTTGTGCAACAGGCATAAGTCCTGAGAAAAAAGAAAGAAAAAATTCTAAATAAATTGATGTTTCCAAAAGTGGACTATACAAACAGTGGTTTTTAGTCACATCAATTGAAGATTAATCTGGTAAATACACTCGCATGAAACCAGACACTATTGTAAAACAACAAAATCTAAAGCAATCCCAGGCAACCATCACACAGAACCTATTTTACTTGAGTGACTGTTTCTTTCAAGCTTCACATGTCTGACAAATCTAAACAGTTCAGTTTGGCTAGTCATTAAACATTTTTGTGTCTCATGAGTTTCTTCCATTCACTACATTTTCCTTTTGAGACAGAGTCTCACTGTGTATCCCACACTGTCTTTGAACTTAGAATCCTCTGGAATTAGCCTTCCACAAACCAGGGTTGTGGTGTGCACCACCTTGCCTTGCTCAAGTAATCCAGTTTTGACAATTCTTTTAAAATATGTTATTCTTCTCTGTCAAGAAGCAGTGGCTGGTCCCTGGTTAGTGTGAGAGTCATATCAAATGTCATATTAATGTTAAATTATTCTGCTCAGATGTTCCAGTCTCCACCCTGCAAACTAGTCGCACAACAGCACCACACAGTTGAGAGAGTGTCATGCTGAAGTTCAGCTATAAATGCAGATCTTAACCACTCCCTGGGTGCCTTCCAGGCTTCAATTTATGAAGCATGTTTGCTCAAGAGCAGTTTACATCCCTGAAGATGGTAGATCACACCTAGTACACGGTGATCTCAAGGTACAAGAACATGTTGGTAGCCTTGTTGTTTTGGGTCAGTAAAATGTGCAAGGTAGTTACATATATCAGTGGCAGTCAGCAAGAATTTACAATGTCTCCACTGGGTTCATGGGGATGGCAGAAATGTAAGATAAAGAGAAAAGGGGTGTAGCCGGATGGTACTGTTTGCATGACCTCTTTGTTACAGGAATATGGGACAAAGGTTAGTGTTTGGAGGACAGTGCTCACATGCTCTGCAGGAAGCAAAATGTGACTCTTAGTCACAGGTAGGCTAGGTGACAGAGTCATAAAAATGACAAAGATATTGTTTATAAATACTAGCAAAGATGATGACTGAACGAATTTTGTTACATTTGTAGAGCTGACAAACCTATGATCTCCAGCTATTTCAAGGCATCACATATGAGAAATGTATCAACTAGTGTTTTGTTGGCTGTGGTCATGAGCAAGAACAAAATACACACATCATTTCTTTAGAAGTAGAGTTATAAATGCAATTGGAATGCCAACGAGCTTGTTTACTTTTATGTGTAACTATAAAAAACCAACCAACCAACCAAACAAACAAACAACCAAACAAACAAACAAACAAGGTCTCACTATGTACTCTAGACTGCCCTCAAACTTTCTAGGTAGCATAAACTGGCCTTGAATGGAGTAAGAGGCTGCTTGTTGGTTCCAGGCTCCTCAGCCCCAAAATAATCACATAGAAACTATATAATTTAAACCACTACTTGGCCCATTAGTTCTAGCTTCTTATTAGATAGCTCTTACATATTAATTTAACCCATTTTTATTAATCTGTGTATTGCCACGTGGTTGTGGCTTATCGGCAAGGTTTGGCGTCTGCCTCTGGTCGCAGCTGACTTCTCTCTAACTCCACCCTTCTTTGTTGCAGCATTCAGTTTAGTGTTTCCCCACCTACCTAAGTTCTGTCCTATCAACAGGCCAAGGCAGTTACCTTATTAACCAATGGTATTTACAGCATACAGAGGGGAATCCCACATCACTTGAACTTTCAATCTTTCTGCCTCAGCCCTAAAAGTACTTGAATTAAAAGAAAGAGCTACCATACCCTAGTGAATTTGTTCCCATTAAAAAAAAAATAGTATTAGGTTTCATGAATTTTATTTTAACATTCTAAGTTTTTACTGTATTTAAAATCTTACAGCTTTACTGAATTATATTTGACATAAATAAAACAACATATTCTAAAGATGCACAACTCGATAAATTTTGACATATATATATGTCAAATATTTGTTTATATATGTATATATATAAACAAATGAAGCTATGAGCATAATTAAGACAAGGAACAAATCTATCATCTTATAATTCTTCTTATATTTTTTCTTCTGTTCTTCTTTCTCCACCTAAGAAACAACTGATTTGCTTTATTTTATGCTAGCATTAGCATTTTCTAGAATTTTATACACATGTAATCACTGAAGTTGTTTAGGGGGGTCTGGTACTTTCATTTGTGATAACTATGTTTGGATTCTTCAGTATCTTATTGCTATTATCATTATTGCTGTTATTATTCTGCTAAACAGATGATTTAGCATTATCTATACTATCCATTCACTTGGAAATAGATACTTGGGCTGCTTCTAGCTTTGTGGTATCAAAATTCAAAATAAAGAGGATTCTACCTTCCAGCTATGTATTCGGTCAAACTGTAGATCATTTGGTCAAATGGAGATGCCACGTACCACGCCCCTCTGCACTCTATGCACTAGAATCCAGTTTGTGAGCTTTGGGCAAGAGGCTGGAGGTTGAGGAAACACACACAGAGACAGACCAACACACGGACCTCCAATCACTGGTACAAAAGCCCTCCTTTAATAGCACCATGGAGGCTTAAATACACAGCCGTCAATGGCCAACAGGTGAAAATCCCATCCTCTGATCCTCTAGGTAAGGCACAGCTTTTAGAAACTTCAATTAGAAGGCTCTAGACAGGGAATAGCAGCTGAAGGCCAGGACCCAATTGGTTCCAACATGGAGATATTTTTTTTTTTCATCACACAGAGTGTGTTGATTTCAGTTATTGCCTCTCATACTTTGAATGGGTAGGGTCAATTACTGATCTGCAGTGCTTCACAAAGACTTCTACTGGGGTGGGTATCGTGTAACTCTGGGATTCTATTTGCATGGTAGTTTAAGCTTCTGTCTTTACCTGGCCTGATCTCTTCCTCTGTAGTAGCAATAAGAGTTATGCTTTGGAAACATTAGCATCTCTTCTTGCCTAGATCGGTAAGCATGCTAAACAACTACAGACTCCTTCCTGACCCTCTGTTTTATGCATGTTCCTGCTCTGGATGACCTTATCTACTTCTACCCAAAAGACTGTCTCCCTGTTTCTCTCTTTTTGTTTCATGTGCGCGCACACACATGGGGCCAATTATTCTCAAATTTAAACTCCAACTTTCCAGCCAGAACCCCTCCTCTGCTAGGCAAGCTAGTCATTGCCACCTCGCCTGCCAATTTTCTTTATGTGTGTGCTAACTTCAACGTTTGGGTTGAACTGAATTCATTTCCAATACATGCATAAGTAAAATTAAGCACAAAGGCAAACATATGTAAATTAAAATGCATATACCAGTGGATGGACTAGTACTGTACAAAAATATCACTTCCAAACACTGTTTTATTACTTAAATATGTCCTCTTTTTTTTTTTCTCTAAGAACCTAACTACTTTAACACAGACTGGGAGAAAATACTTTTAAAAGATATATATATATATCTTTT